TATTAGCAGTTTAATAAGTAGTGCTCAGAGTGACAATTGGGCTATGGGGATCATCTGTCTGATTATTTAGTGACTTTACTATCTACTGGGAAAAGCACACACAACCCCTACAAACAACAAAAGCAGAGATCAAGGCAAGGAGAAGGGGATAGGACAGACATGACAGAAAACCATGGTACTCAGCTGGCAGACACCATACAGCAGGCAGACTAAAAACCACGGGTAAAAGTTTAGGGTATGTTAGGGAACTCTAGATTCTAGCAGGTGAGGTAGTACAGAGGTGAAATCTTCACTAATGACACTTTCTAACTCCTTAACTCATCTCTTCAAGATTCTGTTTCTCGTCCCCTTCCAATCTATGCCTTGCCCACACATGTAAAGGAAATTGTACTCGTACGCAAAGCTGACAGCCTGGATGAAGCACTCGGCAAGTACATAAATGCCTCAGACCGTCCATAGCAAGGCCAACCATTCATCTACCTCCAGATGACCCAAGTGAAGTCAGGAGGGCAAGAGACTTCCTGGGTAGAGTTCCTACAGAGCCATTTAGCTATCAAAATCAAAGAACTTGAAGAGCTTTGGGCAGAGCTGGAGCCCAGCTATCTCCAACCAGTTGAGGCCTTGTTTGTTACTTGACTGAATGAGGACACTCCTTGATCCTTCCTAGCTCAGTCAGTACAAGTAATTCCATTAAGATGTGTGGATTCTGGGCCAGGCATGGTGACACACGCCTTTAGTCCCAGCACTAGGGAGGCAGAGGCAGGTGGATCTCAGTGAGTTTGAGGCCAAGCCTTGTTTACATAGTGAGTTCCAGGCCAGCTGGGGCTACAGGGAGACTCCATCTCAAAAAAACAAAGATGGTGCTGGAGAGATGGCTCAGTGGTTAACAGCACTGACTCTTCTAGAGGACACGGGTTCGATCCCCAACATCCACATGGTGGTTAACAACCATCTGTAGCTCCAGTTCCAGGGGATCTGACACCTTCTGATCTCCGCAGGCAATGCACAACACGGGTGGACTTACACACATTCAGGCAATACATTTCATACACATAAAATAAAAAATAATTTTTAAAAAATATTTTAAAAGACCGAAAAAAAAAAAAAAAAGACATGAAGGTGTGAAAGTGCTCAGAAACTACCAAGGGTTGTACAGACATTAATCATCCTGCTTGCTCTAGCAGACAGATGGTCCTTCCTGAATGCATAGCCACCTGGAAATGTGGTATAGCCACCTGGAAATGTGGTATAGCCACCTGGAACTTTGGAGTTGCCATCCTCAGAATGCCTGATAACTAATGTGTTGATGCTATAGATTAAAATAGCTCATGCTAGAAACCATTTTTGCCTGTATGTTAAATTACTCTGTGTTTTGTTATGACAGTATTAGATGCAACTTAAACTTCTCATCAGTGTAGTAGCTGTAGCTTTTTGACTATGTGAGTTTTAAAAATTGAACCTATTTTTGGGTTAGCTATTGTAAGATGCCTTGAGATGAGAAATTTGGGGGTGGGGAAACCACTGAATATGTATTTCTTAAAGAACAGGGTAATCTTTGGATGTCTCTTTCAGTCTATAAAATCATTTTAATTGTAGCTTTATACAAGTATACATCTGTCTTAAGTGCACTTGAGTGTATTGGGAACAGGTTCCCTGAAATCCATAAGGCTGGATTGTGAAAGGATAAAGTAGGCTGCTTGAATTTCAAAGCCAGATGCATTGAGGGAGATACCCATTGTTAATGAAGCCACATACCAAAGTTCAGTTTGTTCACCATGAACCTGCTCTGCCACAGATTCTGAGTCCGAGAAGTCCCTGACTCACCTGGAAGCAGTGACAGCACGTTCATTTGAAGAGAAGGAAGAGTGCTCGAGCAGTGGAAAACACAGGATGTCTGAAGGAAAAGATTGTGGTGGGAGAGATGCGCTCTCCAATGGCATCAAAAAGCACAGGTAGCATGACCTTGAATGGTTGTCATTCATTACTGTTCTGTAGCTTGGGTGCATAAAAACATGCGGCCTCAATATTGGGTATTTGTGCTGCCTACTGAACCACCTCCAAGACAGGTTTGTCTGAGGAACTTGTTTCTTGTCCACTTTCAGGATTAATGTCACTTGTAAGTGTGGGGACAGAGCACAAAGCCCAGCTTTGGCATCCAGGTTTTCAGGGCAGGTTCTCAGAACTACCCTCTGAAACTGATGCTCTGTTCCCGTTTTCATCATTCATCATTTATGACTGCCTCCCAGTGCTATTTTGGTTCCTAGTCATTTGATCTTCTTGTTGGTTTTATTACAAATGAATGGTAATGTTGCCAGCCTTCTGACACAATTTAGTTAAATTTAAACAAAGGCTGTTAGAAAGACCCAGGATTTGTTGAACACGTCCATTTAATGTTAGCTAATGATGTTGGTGTGTTTTTATTCCCCTAATGGGTTAGTGTTAGATTGTCCCAATTGAATGAGATGTAATAGACACCATGGTTCTCTGATTTCCACACAGGTTTCAGACACAGTGGCATATGTGCTTGTTCACATAGAGAAATATTTTATAAAATTATCTGTGAGGGAGAGATTCTGTTATAAAGATGATTTGGGGAGTCAGAAGATACTAATAGTTAATTTCTTCAGACAGTCTTCTGTTTGTTTTATAGTTGTAGATTGTATGACACAATGATTCTGATCACAACTGGCTTCAAGCTTTGCCATGGGTTAAGTGTACACACCACTGCTCTGGTCTATGGATGCTTTCCCCTTTTTAAGAAAAGTGCCTTAGTTTGTATTCATTTTTAGAAGATCAATGGATTTAAAAGTTTAGTCTTAAAATGCATGTGAAGTTTGGGAAGTGACTAGATGAAACAGCTTTCCTGTGCTGAGTTCTACTTTGATGGGGTTTACCGCTGCACATGATGTGGCTAGCACGCAGTGTCTTTCTCCACCCTCTACCGCAGTTCCCATGAGTGACTTCAGAACACAGGACTGATGTGTTCAGGAAATGAAATACCTAGCAGAAACCTGTCAGATCACCAATCTCCAAGAGAAGACAACCTTTAAACACTTAGGTCTTGCCCTCTGGTGAGAAAAGGAGTGCAGTCTTTGGAAAGATCAAAAACGAGTCTGAGTGATTTTTAAAAAAATATTTTGCTTATTATTTTAATTTTATGTGTATTTCCTGCTTGTATGTAAGTGCATCCATGTTGTACAGTGCTCTTGGAGGTCAGGAGTTGGCATCAGATCCCCTGGAACTGGAGTGAAGTATGATTGTTAGCTGCCATGTGGGTGCTGAGAATTGAACCTGGGTACTCTACAAGAGCAGCCAGTCTCTTAACCACTGAGCCATCTCTCTAGCCCCTGAATCTGAGCTTCTAAAAAATTTTTTATTGAGCTTTTGTGATTTCTTTTTTAAAAAATTGTTTAATAACCACATAATTAGAAGAAGCATTTCATTACAACAGCATTGACATATTCCGTAACAATTTCCAGATTTAAGATGTATCTCTTTCAAAATTGTCTATAAATTTTTAGGTTTACAGTTGAATTAATACAGTTATACAATATGGTACTCAGTATAGACCATATAAGACATAAAATTGAATGAGGTTTTAATATTTAAAAAAGATCTGTTTCATTTTAAAATATACTGTTTCATACAGAAAAACTTTTTTTTGTTTGTTTTTGAGATGGGTTCTCCCTGTAGCCCCAGCTGTCTTGGAACTCACTATGTAGACCAGGCTGGCCTTGAACTTACGGAGATCCACCTGCCTCTGCCTCCCAAGTGCTGGGACTACAGGCGTGCGCCACCATGCCTGGCAGAAAAACTCATTTTTAATGCAACTAACACTTAGATGTTTGCACATGTGTGTCTAATCTCTATATATCTGATTATTGGTAGTCACAGTTGGTTACTTTCTGAGATCCTTGGTGCCTGAGGATGGATATAGTCATCAGGTAGATTTCAATGGTAATGTTTTTCATACCTACTAATTAACATGAAGCAAAATTATATGCTTCCTCAAATATAACTCATTTTAAAATTTATTTATTGATTTTTTTGTGTGTGTGTATGTATTTCATACAGAACATCCCAAACAATCTTATTCATCCTTATACCCACATCCCAAGTGACACCCTCCCATAGCCTCCCTCCCTACTGGAGCCCATATACCCTGTCATTCCTGTCACTGTCCACCATATTGTCAACACCCCCAGCCATTCCCCAGTGCTTATCCATCCGCTGAATGTAGTCAGCCTATCTAGAGTTCCTTGTTTTAGGAAGATCAGCTCTTCCTCATCTAGCAGCAAGCAGTTGCCAACATTCCTTTAGATAAGATTAGGGTCTGCTGTTCATTTTCCCAGTTCTATGCTGGATTACTGTCTGGGAGACTGTTGGGCCACCCTGGTCAACAACTCAAAGGAAGGTATCTCCTGTCTGGCATTGTTTCTTGTTAAGGAGCCTTTAGCTATACACATGGACTCTTAAAGAATTATATTGATCCCTTTAATCTTTGGTTATGCATTCCTTTTGGGTCTGAGCTTTTACAATTTCATACAACAGTTCTTATTCAAATTTAGGGCCCCTCCCCCATCCATGCCCCCCATTCCTCCACTGGACCTCATGTATTGTGCCATACATGTTAAGTCCTATCCTGTCAGGCATCATGTCCTTCGTGCAGATTCATCCACTGGAGTCTAATCAGCCCCTCTAGAGATCATTTGCATCTGAGTTTTTGACACAATTATTACAATACCAAAATGAGTACAATATCTGGACCAAACAGGTGTCCTATGCTACAGCTGAAGGCCCACAAGCCCTTTTGTATATGTGCTGTCATCACAATAGTAGCTATTTTACAATCAACGTAATTATACCCTATTCCTTTATTCTGTGCTGTTTTGATCACACACAGAATGGTACAAATGTACAACTTGAAACTGTTCAAAAACATGGACTTAGGTGAAGTCATTAGGGAAGAATCCAAGGAAATGTAAGTGGAAGCCTAACCAGAAAAGTTGAATTTATACCAGATGCATTTTATTAAAACTTTAAGTGTAATAACATATTATTTGGCTCAAAAGAAAACTTGAAAACTGTCAGAGGCTTAATACATGGAAAACTTAATAGTGGCCTATGTTTTTTTAAATTTGAAAATTTTTATTTCATGTGTATGAATGTTATGCCTGCATGTGTAGAAGTCCACCCGTGCACAGTGCCCAAGGAGGACAGAAGAGGGTGTCAGAGTCCCTGGAACTAGAGTTACAGACCGTTATTAGCCGCCATGTGGATTCTGGAATTGAAATCCAGGTCCTCTGCAAGAGCAGCCAGTGCTCTTAACCATTGTGCCATCTTTCCAGCCCCAGTTGTCTATTTTCAAAAGACAGCTTTAATAGGAGACTAAAATGTCTGTTCGTAAAGCATATAGTTAAACAGAACATATACTGCACGTTTTAAAAAGTTTAATTTAGGAAGACAGATATGGGAATGTATGGATTATATAGTTTTTAAAAATTTATTATTTATCTATTTTTTTATGTGTATGAGTGTATTGCCTGCATGTATGTGAGTGCACCTGTGTCGTGCAATGCCGGCTTCAGATTCCCCTAGAACTGGAGTTAAGGATGGTTCATAGCTGCTATGTGGGTGCTGGGACTCAAACCTGGGTCCTCTACAAGAGCAGTTTTTTAAAAGATACTTTTTAAAGAGCCAGGGTGGTCTGCACGACTTTAGTCCCAACACTCTGGTCCGAGGCAGGCAGATCTCTGTGAGATCAAGGCCAGCTGGGGCTACGGAGAGACCCTGTCTCAAAAGACTCTCCAAATACATAAGTAAATAAATAAATAGTTTTTTTTTAAGTAGGAAATGAGAAACTTTACTAATTATAAACCCAGCTTAACTGCTTTGCTGACAAAATAGATAAATATTTTCATACATTTTTTCCAAGCCAAGAAACCCTTTATCCAACAGAAATTTAGTAGTAAATGGTTAAAATCATACCACATTCATTTTGATAACACCTTTTTTCCCTACAAAACATGCCCAGTTGATAGTGGAACATCAGCTTCCACCCCACTGTAGTCACTTGTACTGACAAGGCTCCGTGCCATCTTGTCTGTGTTCCAGAAAAACTTAATTTCTTTTGAGCTCTAACTTCTAACTTGTAGTACTTATGCCCAAATTGTTTTATTTGGTAAAGGTTTGGATATTTATTTGTGTCACTGGATATGGTATAAAAGATGCTAAGGCGGAGCAAAGAAGCCAGCATCTGAAAATGTCAGTCGGTGATAGAGTTCTGTGAATACCATCCGTTGTATTAACAACATTTGGAGATTTAAAACAAAACAAAAATAAGATGATCATTCCTAATACATAAAGTAGTTCCTCTAGTCCCATATCAGTGAGTATGTAGTAAAGCACAGAGAAGGAAAGGAAGCCTTCAGTGTGGTTAAGTGTTACAAGAAATGGCTTGATGATGAGACATGAAACTTTTTATAATATCAAAAATAAGACAGGATGTTTGATTTCCCCCCCCCACGCACGCATGCATACACACACACACACACACACAGTTTTCTTTGGAGTCCAAAGAGACGTAACACACAAAAAGTTTAGACATACAATTTGTCTACATAGGAAACACATAGTATCCATCGAGTACTTAGATGTAGTAAAGGTATTTGGGAAGGTTGCTATATGAAAAATTACATTATATGAACTATCAGCAGAAATTAAAAGTGGAGGAAAGGAAATATTTCGAGTAACTATTAAAAGTCACAGGCTTGTCAGTTTTGGCTAAACAACTCCCCCAAACAAGCAAACAAAACCATACACACAGAAGAAGAAAGAGGTGATGATCATAAAGGTGTTCCTGCCAGAATGATTGCAATTTAAACCATGATGTCTTTTTCCTTAGAGGCTGAGAAATAAATTCTGAAGTGTGTATTTAAGTACAAAATACTTG